GATGTTCAAAAGCTAAATTAGTTATTTATAAAAACTAACAAAACACTGACACGGCAGCACAGAGCCAAGATTGGCGGACTTGGTATACAATGCCAAACTGAGGAGCAAACAACAGGGAATATAAAGACCAACTTACAACACCTGTGCAGAGACGATCAGGTGTGGGTGGGTGTGGCCTAACAGAAACATCAGCGCAGGAAAACAGTATCAGAGAACACAGGCTGATTACCAAAAACTATTAATAATTACAGTATTTACATAAACAAAAGTGCGCTTGGTAGCATGCTGTGCAATGACTGCGAAAAAAAAACACCAAAATTTCTTTGCAAACAGCTATGGGAATGAGAAAACAGTCCACTTTAGCTACTCAGACATATGTCACATCAGTTTAAACAGATCATACATACAAAAGTTAGATGATGTGACTGAGCTGACATTTTGATATATCTTACAAAACTGCTCTTTCGATTTGATGGTTTTTAAAGATTTTCCCTCTTTATGTCTAAACTTCATTTGCCCTCAGTTATCCATCTACTCAGCTAGCTGTTTTGTTCTTATCAGTTGTGGTAAAATTATAATAARATGAGCATTTTAAATGTAATTGATYTTTGTATGGGCAGTATGGTGGTTCTGTATAGAGCTGTTGCCTCGCTGCAAGGTCGCCAGATTGAATCCCAGCCTGTGGGTTGGGTTTGCATGTTCTTTTGGGTTATTATTTTTTTTACTGGGTGCTTTGGCTTCCTAGATCAAAAAACATAAATGCTGTTAACTGAATCAGCATGCTATATCATCCATGTTTAGCTACTTCTGTAAACATCAAGTTGAAAGTGACGTCACTTTCTGAGCATGTAGAGAGTTCACACTGGAGTCTGATGGAGGTCACATGTAAAATGTAATGTGAATGACCAAAAAAAAAAAAAAATCAGATTTTTGCAAATAATCAGAAGTGAGCATTAAGACCCACAGTGTGAACATGTGATGGACTCACCTGTCCAGGGAGGACCCCGCCCCTCACAGTGACTGTTGGATATGGGTACCAGTGACCCTGAAAGGAAGAAGTGGGTAAAAGATAATGGATGGACGGACCACTACTTGGTGCTTCATGACCCATAATGAGGTCCTGACCCTACATTTGGAAAACACAGTTTCTTTTTAGTGCTTTTGAAAGTGATATTTTAAAGAATGCTAATGCGCAGTTCAGCCAAAAGTCACCCACCATAGTTCTTTTTTTTCCTGCTTGTTCTAACAGAGGCTGCCCGTGCTCAGAGGAGTGTCCAATCCGCGCGCGCGCACGACGAGGCTTCTCCTGTGCACGTGCTTGTGTGCGTGTGTTTGTGTGTGTGTGTTCAGCAGCAGACAGACAGACAGGCGGGAGGTGAGGTGAGGAGGAGCTCCTGCAGCTCACGACAGTCCGCGTAAAAAAAAGCGAGCGGCTGCTGGACGCGCTTGGATGAAGCGGACAGTCCGCCTGTCTGCGCTCTGAACAGCGCGCCTCAACTCATTCTGCTCTTTTTTTTTATTTTAATGTGAAGAAACAAAGCTGGACACCTGGACAAAGCAGTGTGCGTAGCGTTTTTTGTGGCTTTTATTTCCCTGGATAAAAAAAAAAAAAAGAAAACAGAAAAAAGTTATTCTGATATATTTGTCCAAACCGACGCTGAAGCGCAGAATTTGGGAGTCGTCTTGTGGAGGTACTTCTTCTCCTTCTCCTCCGCATCTAGTTCTTTTCACTGGAGCTGCATCCTCTGACATCTGTAAGTCATCATCTCGTTTTTTCTTTAAACGTGCAGAAATATGTTTGCCTGCTTGACATCTTGGGGSTTTGCACATGATGAAGGAGAAACCTGCAGGAATTTGCACGAGCAGATTGCTGCTTTGACATTTTTCCTCCTATTTCTGCTCCAGCTGAGTTATTRTTGGTTGCTCAAGTGCAAAAGGAAAAATCTAATTAATACAAACGTGACTCATGTAGTGGTTCACAGTTGTTTTCGTGCTTCTGTTGAATGAATAAAATTCTCAAGGAGGAATCTAATATATGGTTGTTCTGAAGGAATTCTGACGGACTCAGTAAACTTCTGCTCTTTGATGAATAAATTAACATTTATGGAGGGATTCGTATGTAATGGAACACAAACTGTGCAGAAATTGAGTTTTTTTTTCTGCCTGACCTCCTCTTCAAAGTCCGACAGATGTGAAAAAGGTGGTTGGATGTGCACAGATTAGATTAACATTTTCAAAAACACATTTTTATTGATTCTGAATTTGGAGCTGGAATGTTTTATTCAAACGACAAGAATAAGAATTAAGCTAATCGAGTGAAAACACATGAATGATCTCAGTAAAAATGAAAATTCAGCACCTATTCAAAGGTTAAAGGTCATTAATAAATGCAGAGGGGGACACTCTTTTATCTTACAGAAAGACTTGTGTTTTATTTTCACGATTCACCAGGTAAAAGCATCTCTGTAGCTCCACATCGATGATCTTTGCAGATACACAGCGAGGGGGGGAAACAGGCATTCCTTCATGGACCCACCGCCCACTATCTGGAAACGAAACAAGCCAGAATTGTTGCTGGATGCTGCCTCAATTCAGTCTTCAGTAAAGGCAAGAAAATAATAACGAGGTGAAACTGCGTAAATACCTGCAGCTGTATAAAGGTTGTGCTRAAAGGAACTCTTAGGGGTTTAGAGTGAAAGCTCGTGTCACCAGGAGTTTTATTAGAGGTTTAATCTGCTGCTGTGACTGCAAGCAAAAAGGCACGTGAATACAGAACTCTGATACGCACATGCTGCGCAGCACAGAGGCGGACAAGAATAGCAACAAACACACTATCAGGAACCGTCGCATGAGGAGAGGGGTGGGTGGGATTCAGAAGCGGACCCAGAATGAGCTCAGGCAGCTGTGAGGAGGATCAGTGCAGACATGGCACACAGAGATATGGAAAGTGCCCCTGCGGTGACTTGGACTATGTGCTGGCAGAGAGCGGCTCTGCTTTCTGACTGAGATTAAAAAAACAAAAACAACAAAAACGATCACTCATCGTGCCYCGAGCGATCGTGTCGACCCGTCCGGGTGGTCAGGACGGCGGGTTGGTGCCCCGTATTTGAAGGTGGCATAAGAGATGCAGAGGAAAGAGGAACAGCGTGCCTGATCATGTGAAAGATTTGCCGGGCAGCGCGATGGATTAGTGGTTAGCACTATCGCCTCATAGCAAAAATCTCATCCTCAGTTTGGGCCTGGGGTCAAAAACATGCAGGTTTAGCTGCCTTTGGGCCTTCCTTGGATAAGTGATGTAGGCTATCAATATGGTTAAATAAATGTTACCATACACTGTAAAAACTGTCCATCTTACCAAGTTTTAAAATCTTATATCCAGCCAAAAAGTATTTTTGATCTTGTTTTGAGACTGATTCACTAAACAAGAACTGATTGTGTAAGAATAATAATCTTGTTTTCAGAATGTGTAAGATTATTTGTTTGTTAGTCTGAAAATTTGACTCAAATTAAGTC